TGCCCTTTACCACAGGTCGGCTGACAAGGCTGCTCGGGGCCTGTCTCGGAGCGGCAGCAGGACACAGCCCCTTCCCACCCCGCGGCCAAAGGGAGCAGTCCCCTTCCCACTCCAGCTGCGCTCCCGACCGGGACGCAGGAGCCAGCAACGGGCCCAGCACGCAGAATGCAGGTGTGCAGCCAGGGGATCCCTCCGTCTCGCTCTTCATACTCCTCCTGTTGATGCCCACCATTTCGCTGGCCTTTTTTGGCTGCTACTACCCATTTGAAAAAATAATTTCTGATTAAAATTGCCAGCTCAAAGCTGACCATTACTATGGAGGAGAAGGATTTCAGGACTACTCAGTGAACTTCTGATCCTTCTGCTTTGAAGGGAGAGAACTGGAAAGGTTCAGAGAGGAGCAGCACAGATACCAAAAGCACAGCGGGTCCTGCGGGGAGAGAGCTGTAACCGGCATCGGGGGTGAACGGGGCCCAGGGCAGCGTTCACCGTCTCTTCCCCATGAGGAGAGGGGGCCAAAGTCAGCAGAAGCGAGCTCAGAACAAATAAAGGACACTTCTTCACGCAGCAAATAATTCAGCTCTGAACTTCGTAGAGGAGGTGGCAGCTGCGCCGAGTCTGCGTGGGCTCCAGGAGCGGCTGGACTTGTTCGGGGAAGGGGGATGCGCTGGTGACTCCGGAAGGCACAGAGTTCCCCTCCGGAGGTGTGCACCTCTCGCCACGTGCTACAGAGCGGGGTTAGTTCCTTCTGCACAGCTCAAGCTAGGCAAAAGGAGTTTGAAAAATAAGGGGGAAAAAAAAAAAAAGGAGAAAACTTTTCATTCGCCAGCTGAAATTGTATTCTGCCAAAAGAGGAGTCTCGTGGAGACAACTTATTCTTTCACAGAGTCACAGTCACAGAATGTTCGGGGTTGGCAGGGCCCTCTGTGGGTCACCCAGCCCAAACCCCTGCCCAAGCAGGGTCACCCAGAGCAGGGGGCACAGCACCGTGTCCAGGCGGGGCTGGAATATCTCCAGAGAAGGAGACTCCACA